CCAGTGACAACGGTGACAACGGTGAGAACGAAGAGAACGGTGACAACAATGACAATGGTGACAACAGTAACAACGGTAACAACGGTGACAAGTGACAACAGTGACAATGGTGACAACGGTGACAACCGTGGCAAAAGTGACAACAGTGACAACGGTGACAATGGTGACAACAGTGACAAAGTGACAACAGTGACAACCGTGAAAATGGTGACAACAGCGAAAACGGTGAGAACAGTGACAACCGTGACAACCGTGACAACAGTAACAACAGGTGACAACGGCGACAATGGTGACAACAGTGACAACAGTGACAACGGTGAAGAGAGTGACAACGGTGACAGCGGTGACAACAGTGACAACGGTGACAATGGTGACAACGGTGACAACAGTCAACAACAGTGACAACGGTGACAACAGTGATAACAGTGTCAACAGTGACAAGAGTGGCAACGGTGACAGCGGTGACAACAGTGACAATGGTGACAATGGTGACAAAAGTCAACAACAGTGACAACGGTGACAACAGTGACAACTGTAACACGGTGACAACGGTTACAACGGTGACAATGGTGACAACGGTGACAACGGTGACAACGGTGACAACAGTGACAACGGTGACAACAGTAACAACGGTGACAACATTGCCACCGCGACAACGGTGACAACAGTGACAACGGCGATAACGGTGACAATGGTGACAACGTTGACAACAATGACACAGTGACAACAGTGACAACCGTGACAATGGTGACAACAGGTAAAACGGTGGCAATGGTGACAACAGTGACAACGGTGATAACTGTGACAACGGTGAAAACAGTGAGACAGCGACAACAATAACAACAGATGACAACGGTGACAACGGTGACAACAGTGACAACAGCAACAACGGTGACAACGTTGACAACGGTGACAACAGTGACAACAGTGACAACAGTGACAACAGGGAGAACAGGGACAACGGCGACAACAGGGAAAACAGTGACAACTGTGACAACAGTGACAACGATGACAACGGTGACAATGGTGAGAACAGTGAACACGGTGACAATGGTGACAACAGGGACAACGGTGAGAATGGTGACAACGGTGACAACGGTGACAACAGTGACAACAGTGACAACGGTGACAACATTGCCACCGCGACAACGGTGACAACAGTGACAACGGTGATAACGGTGACAATGGCGACAACAGTGACAACGGTGACAACAGTGACAATGGTGACAACGGTGACAACAGTGACAAGAGGGACAACAGTGACAACGGTGACAAGAGTGGCAATGGTAACAACAGTGACAACGGTGACAATGGTGAGAACGGTGATGCCAGTGACAACGGTGACAACGGTGAGAACGAAGAGAACGGTGACAACAATGACAATGGTGACAACAGTAACAACGGTAACAACGGTGACAAGTGACAACAGTGACAATGGTGACAACCGTGGCAAAAGTGACAACAGTGACAACGGTGACAACGGTGACAATGGTGGCAAGAGTGACACAGTGACAACAGTGACAACCGTGAAAATGGTGACAACAGCGAAAACGGTGAGAACAGTGACAACCGTGACAACCGTGACAACAGTAACAACAGGTGACAACAGTGACAACAGGGACAATGGTGACAATGGTGACAACGGTCACAACAGTGACAACAGTGACAACGGTGAAAACAGGGAAAACAGTGACAACTGTGACAACAGTGACAACGATGACAACGGTGACAATGGTGAGAACAGTCACCACGGTGACAATGGTGACAACAGGGACAACAGTGACAACAGTGACAAAAGTGACAACTGTGACAACAGTGAGAACGGTGACAACGTTGACAACGGTGACAACAGTGACAATGGTGAGAATGGTGACAACAGTGATAACAGTGACAACAGTGGCAACAGGGACAATAGTGACAATGGTGACAACGGTCAAAACAGTGACAACAGTGACAACGGTGAAAACAGGGAAAACAGTCACAACTGTCACAACAGTGACAACAATGACAATGGTGACAATGGTGAGAACAGTCACCACGGTGACAATGGTGACAACAGGGACAACAGTGACAACAGTGACAACAGTGACATCTGTGAAAACAGTGAGAACGGTGAGAATGGTGAGAATGGTGACAACGGTGACAATGGTGACAACAATGACAACAGTGACAACGGTGACAACAGTGACAACGGTGACAACATTGCCACCGCGACAACGGTGACAACAGTGACAACGGTGATAACGGTGACAATGGTGACAACAGTGACAACAGTAGCAATGGTGACAACGGTGACAACGGTGAGAACGAAGAGAACGGTGACAACAATGACAATGGTTACAACAGTGACATTGGTGACAAAGGTAACAACGGTGACAACCGTGGCAACGGTGACAACCGTGGCAATGGTGACAACCGTGGCAACAGTGACAACGGTGACAATGGTGACACAGTGACAACCGTGACAACCGTGACAACGGTGACAACAGTGACAACGGTGACATCGGTGCCAACAGTGTCAAAAGTGAAAAGAGTGACAACGGTGACAGCGGTGTCAATGCTGACAACCGTGACAATGGTGACAACAGCGAAAACGGTGAGAACAGTGACAACAGGTGACAACAGTGACAATGGTGAAAACAGTGACAACAGTTACAACAGTGAAAACGGTGACAATGTTGACAACGGTGACATCAGTGACAGCGGTGACAATGGTGACAACGGTGACAATAATGACAACAGTGAGAACGGTGACAAGAGTGACAACGGTGACAACGGTAACAACAGTGACAACGGTGACAACGGTGACAACAGTGACAACGGTGACAACACTGTCAACAGTGACAAGAGTGACAACGGTAACAGCGGTGACAACGGTGACAATGGTGACAATGGTGACAACGGTGACAACAGTCAACAACAGTGACAACGGTGACAACAGTGACAACAGTGACAACCGTAACGGTGACAACAGTGACAACGGTGACAACTGTGACAACGTTGACAACAGTGACACAGTGACAAAAGTGACAACCGTGACCATGGTGGCAACAGTGAAAACGGTGAGAATGGTGACAACAGGGACAACGGTGACAATTGTGAAAACGGTGACAACAGTGACACAGTGACAACAATAACATGTGACAACGGTGACAACGGTGACAATAGTGACAACGTTGACAACGGTGACAACAGTGACAATGGTGACAATGGTGACAACAGAGACAACAGTGACAACAGGGACAATGGTGACAATGGTGACCACGGTAACAACAGTGAAAACTGTGACAACGGTAACAACAGGGAAAACAGTGACAACTGTGACAACAATGACAACGATGAGAACGGTGACAATGGTGACAACAGTGACATCAGTGACAACGGTGACAACAGTGACAACAGTGAAAACAGTGACAATAGTGACAATGGTGACAACAGTGACAACAGCGACAACAGTGACAATGGTGACAACAGTGACAACAGGGACAATGGTGACAATGGTGACAATGGTGACAACGGTGACAACAGTGACAACGGTGACAACAAGGAAAACAGTGACAACTGTGACAACAGTGACAACGATGAGAACGGTGACAATGGTGAGAACAGTGAACACGGTGACAATGGTGACAACAGTGACAACAGTGACAACGGTGACAACAGTGACAATAGTGACAATAGTGACAATGGTGACAATGGTGACAACAGTAACAACAGTGACAACAGTGACAACGGTGACAACAGTGACAACGGTGACAACATTGCCACCGCGACAACGGTGACAACAGTGACAACGGTGATAACGGTGACAATGGTGACAACAGTGACAACAGTAGCAATGGTGACAACGGTGACAACGGTGAGAACGAAGAGAACGGTGACAACAATGACAATGGTTACAACAGTGACATTGGTGACAAAGGTAACAACGGTGACAACCGTGGCAACGGTGACAACCGTGGCAATGGTGACAACCGTGGCAACAGTGACAACGGTGACAATGGTGACACAGTGACAACCGTGACAACCGTGACAACGGTGACAACAGTGACAACGGTGACATCGGTGCCAACAGTGTCAAAAGTGAAAAGAGTGACAACGGTGACAGCGGTGTCAATGCTGACAACCGTGACAATGGTGACAACAGCGAAAACGGTGAGAACAGTGACAACAGGTGACAACAGTGACAATGGTGAAAACAGTGACAACAGTTACAACAGTGAAAACGGTGACAATGTTGACAACGGTGACATCAGTGACAGCGGTGACAATGGTGACAACGGTGACAATAATGACAACAGTGAGAACGGTGACAAGAGTGACAACGGTGACAACGGTAACAACAGTGACAACGGTGACAACGGTGACAACAGTGACAACGGTGACAACACTGTCAACAGTGACAAGAGTGACAACGGTAACAGCGGTGACAACGGTGACAATGGTGACAATGGTGACAACGGTGACAACAGTCAACAACAGTGACAACGGTGACAACAGTGACAACAGTGACAACCGTAACGGTGACAACAGTGACAACGGTGACAACTGTGACAACGTTGACAACAGTGATACAGTGACAAAAGTGACAACCGTGACCATGGTGGCAACAGTGAAAACGGTGAGAATGGTGACAACAGGGACAACGGTGACAATTGTGAAAACGGTGACAACAGTGACACAGTGAAAACAATAACATGTGACAACGGTGACAATAGTGACAACGTTGACAACGGTGACAACAGTGACAATGGTGACAATGGTGACAACAGAGACAACAGTGACAACAGGGACAATGGTGACAATGGTGACCACGGTAACAACAGTGAAAACTGTGACAACGGTAACAACAGGGAAAACAGTGACAACTGTGACAACAATGACAACGATGAGAACGGTGACAATGGTGACAACAGTGACATCAGTGACAACGGTGACAACAGTGACAACAGTGAAAACAGTGACAATAGTGACAATGGTGACAACAGTGACAACAGCGACAACAGTGACAATGGTGACAACAGTGACAACAGGGACAATGGTGACAATGGTGACAATGGTGACAACGGTGACAACA